AACTGAGCTGAAAATTGTGATCTATAGTATTCAAAACTATTAAGATGTAGGCTGAAATAAAATCAGCATGAATTGCTCAACAATATCAATGGAATCAGCATTGCGCTGCTATATATTGTAAAACATTACAGTGAAATCTTGCAAGTATTATATAGCACGCCGCCTTGCCCAAGTGGTAACTAAGCATAACAGCTTCCTGTTTCAACATTCTTAACTTGTATCCCATAGCTCCTAAAAGTTGTTTTTTTTCAAAACACTGAATAACTGCTAAGTTATGAGTTTTAACAGGTTTTTTTTCTTTTAAACCACAGCACTGAATGTTATTCTAAAATTGTTTTCCAAATATTCTTAAACTCCCAGTTTATCCCCTGCTGATGTTCATTGTGAAAACTATTGCGGGTCTAATAATAATATTTGGCACTTTTGTAATTCACTGTCCAACATGTGTTTTGTGCCCTCCTCTGGTGGATTTTTAGAGGATAACTGTATAGCTACCAGCTAAGGGAGTTATATCTTGAACTCAAGTAGTAGAAGCTCATGCTTTTAAGTCTGGATGGCTCAGGTTCAATCTTTGGTGACTAGCTATGATGGAGGTTGCTACACTTATAATCCCCTTAATCAGAGATTCTGAATATGCTTTGTTGTAGGCAGAGCTAGCCTATAGTTAAGCAACCGAAAATTTAGAATGGGAAGTGTTGAAATGTTGGGAAGCCTTATAATTTTGCCAGTCTGGAACGAACATCCCATCTGAGGGATGGGGGCGGGGAGAGAGGAGAGTGAGACAGGACCAGGAAACTGGGACAAGGAATCCAGAGCGGTAGTGGGGGGCAGTTGAAATCAGATGAGGAGCTGGGGCGGGTTAGACAGCAATAGGATAGACATAGACTGGAGGGGACGGGGAAGAAGGGTCTTTGACTACTAGAGACTACTCCATTCAGGAGCCTGGAATAGACCCAGGATTCCTGAGTTTCACAGTTCCTCTTCTGTCAGAAGATACCTGTGAAACCCAGTGGCAAAAAAAGTGTCTCATCCCCCTATAGAGCTGATCTATCACATATAGGATGACAACCTACTGCCTCTGCCATCACTTACTCCATTAGCTCAAGTGGCAGAAGTCTGTGCAGTGGATCTAAAGGTTCATCGGCAGGGTTGGAGCCATGCGAGTTTCACGATGATTCCACATGCCAGAATTTCTGGGGCAGTTCAGTTTTGATTTTTACAAAAAAACCTGGGGAAATGCATACAGAAATAGGGTGACCAGATGCCTAAATAGGGGAATCTCAAGCAGGAGTAGAGAGGTTATTTTATCTCTGTATTTGGCACTGGTGCAACCACTGCTGGAATACTGTGACCAGTTCTGGTGTGCACAATTTAAGAAGGATATTGATAAATTGGAGAATGTTCAGAGAAGAGTCACAAGACTGATTAAAGGATTATAAAACATGCCTTATAGTGATCGACTCAAGGACCTCAATCTATTTAGCTTAACAAAAAGAAGGTTAAGAAGTGACTTGGTTATAGACTAAGTATCTACATGGGGAACAAATAGTTAATAATGGGCACTTCAGTCTAGCAGAGAAAGGTAGAGCATGATCCAATGGTTGGAAGTTGCAGCTAGACAAATTCAGACTGGATAGAAGGCATACCTTTTCAATGGTAAGAGTAATTAACCATTAACAATATACTAAGGGTTATGGTGTTTTTCTAAAAGCTATCCTCTAGGAATTATTTTGGGAAAGTTCTATGTCTGTGCTACACAGGCGGTGAGACCAGGTGATCACCGGATCCCTTCTGGCTTTATCATCTCAGAACTAGGTACATCAATTCACATGCAAAATTCTCATTGAATTCAATAGGTGTCCTTGCCCTGTGGCTTGTGGTGCGGGCTGCAGCTTCCTAGGGCCCCCTCTCGCAGCTTCCTAGGGCCCCCTCTCATGGCTCTGTGCACCTGTGTCTGTCGTTGTCGTCCTCTCCCCTCCCCCTGCCCCGCTCGCTCAATGTGTCCTGATATTTCACTCTTGCGATCTGGTCACCCTAGATCAATTCCAGAATTTCAGGAAACAATCTAGGTATCGATGGGCACAAGATATTGATTTGGGTGCAAATCAGAAAACGGTAAAAGCCTGATTCAGAGGAAAACCAGGGGCCCCAGACTGCCTGGTGCTGGAGGCAGAGGAATTTCTCTGCTGCTGCCAACATGTATCAGAGGCAGCTGCTTAACTTGCCTAACGAGGAAGTTGTCTGTAGACTGGACTAACAGAAATCAGAGCCTTACAAGGAGGGTTTGTAGGGATGCAGTGGAGAAGCTGGGCCTGAGGAGGACTGGGGGAGAGTAGTGGTGACGAGGGAAGCAGGGATCTGGATGGCGGGCATGGAGCGCCGGGTAGAGGAGGAGGAAGGGAATGGGGACAGAGCCACAGAGCTCTAGACATGTAGCATTCTCTTCTAAACCAAAGTGTTTCAGTTCCCTGTGTTCTGAAAAGCAATGCCAGCACATCTGGGGGATCAGCCCTATCCTAGTTAACAACTGACAGCAACCATGCAATAAGGAAGTCCTATTAGTCTCAGCCTAGTACACCTGCTGGCAAGTGTCCAAACTACAAACATTCACAATTGTCCCCTTGTTAGGGTCAAAGCTCTCAAGGACTGAATGCGCCCTAGATCCTGAACTCCCCTATAACACTGGAGGTGGGTACTCCAAGTCAGGATTGAATCACATTGACAGGGGACTGTGTTTGTGAAATTTGCCCTCCCATGCCTCCTGAAGTACCTATTCTGTGGTAAAGTGGAGAACTTCTGGCTACAGGGCTGCTAAGCTGGCCAGCAGCTCAAAAGGATTGCATGTTCTCAACAAGGCTGCCAGTTTTGTAGCAAGGATTCCTTTGCTTGAATAACTAAGGGGGATAAATACCTTTGCCATTGCCAGATGGGTCTCCCATGCTGCTGATCATGATCTCACCATTGCCCAAGCAGTGAGTTGTGTGGGGATTGGCTAAGTCGCACTTCCAGAATACATCCACTGGCTCAATCATCTAAGGAGAGTTTATATGCACATAGTCAATCCCTCCTTGGTCAGGCCACCTCCAGTCAAAATCAGAGTGTCAACCCCCATCCCCATTGAGGAGGGTTTCCTGCAATCTTAAAAACTCTTCAAAGTTCTAGGCTGTTGGATTTTTTCCACTCGAGAACTCAACCCCTGTGTGTTCTGGGCTTGGCCAGACAGAGAGAAGGAAACTATGAATAAAGCTGGGCAAAATTTTTCAACCGAAAAATTTATTCAGCAAAAAAATGCAGATTTAGTGACATCGAAACATTTCATGAATTCATGTCAATTTCACCAAACTGTTTTGGTGGTGGTCGGGGGACATCGAAACTATTCAGGAAAAAAATTAAAACATTTAGATTTTTCCCATTTGATGAATTTTTGTTTCAAAATTTAAAAAAAGTTTAAAAAATGCTTGAAATTTAAACAAAATGTATCATTTTGGGTTAAACAAAATGTTTTGTTCAGCCCCAAACTAATTTCCTTTTTAATTGCAAGTGAACTGAAAAATCTGTTGTTTGCCCAGCTTGAACTATATAAAGAGAGAATAAACAAAACCCCAGTGCTTTGCTTGCCTGAAGTTCAAAGGTACGAGTTTGTATAAATTTTAATCAATTCCACTGTCACTAAGTGGTTCTCCTGAAGAACGCGTACCCTGCTGCTACATTGAAAGCATGTCTCTATTTAAAAGACAAGTTATGTGAAACCAGTGGCCCCGAGTTACTCAGTACGTCTGAAAGTCAGAGCTGTCTGTGACACACTGGGGTTGTCTGTTCCCTCAATACATCTCCAGGAGAACTAGATGGAGTCTAGTCTGTCTGTGAATCAGCAAGATACCCAGTCAGCTAAATTGTGACTGCAACATCTTTATTACTGGGGATTGTATTAAAGGCAAAGAGAACACTGCCTGATTTTCAGGTGCCAGCTTAAGCTGGCAGTTTTGGTAGTTAGAAAAAGGAGGTAATTTTGGCGTATCAAGTGAGCTAGTTCAAAGCAGACGGCATTGCTCTAGAGCAGTTTTTTCCCCCCCTCATCCCCTTGTATGTACTGTTTAGTCACGCTTGTTACCCAAAGAAGCAAAGTTACCCTGAACTACAAGTTGTACGTTGTGGGCACCAATTTACATCAGGTTGAGGGAGGGGTGTTGCTCTACATATAGAACTCAAGGATTTGAGAACTTACTCTTTTTCCACAGCCAAAGAAGATTAACTTTCTTAAAAATTCTAAGACTTTTGAGACTGACCAGTTCTTAAGGTTCCCCAAAAGCCCTAAAAAATTGTTCTGGATTTCCTCATTCACATTCATAAGTGGGAAATTTTAGTTCCCATCTCCTAAGTGAGATACATCTCTTGGAGTCACCTCAGACATACCTTATGAATCCTGGGAGCCCGCATGTCTGTGCCCACATCCACCACATAAATGCGGGAAGAAATCAGACTGGGAAGAAGCAGCCGGTTCCGTTTCTTTGTGACGTCCCCAAAGCTGCTGCTGCAGGTGTTCCACCCAGAGTGATGGAGCTCGTCTCGGAGGTTGGGCATGGGCAGGCGGTGGATCACCTATGAAGTCAAAGGCATGGTTCAGATTCAGTCTGTAAGACAGGCAGTCCTAAGAAAAACAGTTCTTTAGAAATACAGACATAGCATAGGAAACACGAGGGAAATTGTTGATGTTATCCAGTGAGTAGTTCTAGGCCGAGATTTTCAGAGTAGTTTAAGAATCCCTTGATGCTCAATCCCTCAGGTGGTTTTGAAGAAAATCCCATTCTGAGTCTTTAGCACAGGAGACCAGGAGCCAGGACTCCTGAGTTCTATTCCTGGCTCTCTACCTCCATCATGTGTGATATTGGGTAAATCACTCTCTGTGCATCTGTGACTGGGTGTCCATCCCACACAAGGCATGAAGAGGTTAAGGTGGCCAGATGGACCAATTAAATGCTTAGGCTGCACCTGGAGGAGGAGCCAGGGAACAAGGAGGACTAATTAGAGATGAAGCTCAGCTGAAGAGGAACAGGAGGGGCCTGTAGCTGAGAGTGATGGGCAGGCATGCATTCACTGTTAGGGTGAGAGAAGGTGAGGTCACCCAGGGATAAAGCAGTAAGGGATAGCACTATGCAGACCTTGACACCTTGTTGTAGGGTCCCTGGGCTGGAACCCAGTGTAGAGGGTGGGCCTTGGTTTCCCATGGGCTTGGGATCCCCTAGAAGCCACTGGAAGTGGCACCATTAAGGGGCAGTGAAAGAGAAGAATGACAGGGACAGTGAGTCCTGAGACACTTTGAGGCACATGATTTCCCCAGAAAGGGAAAACCGCAATGATCTGGCTGGAAGGCCAAAAAAATTAAGCAAGAGCAGTTGAGTCCTGAGAGAGCAAGACATAGTGACACAGAGTGCAACTGCAGGAAGGGTTGTTGGCTTAGCAGAGATAATTCCCAGATGTAGCCAGAAGGAGGCGCTCTAGCGGTGAGTAGAGAGCCCTGTGACAGCATCGCACGTGAATTTGGACATCATGACGTCCTAACATTTGTTTCTTAATGGGTGTGCTATTAAATGTATCTAATATTTGGAAGGTAGAAAGACTGGCTAGCAGTTGCAAGAGACACAGAACAGTAATAGAAAGAAAAGAATAATTGTATCTAGGCAGCAACAGTCTGACATTACAAGGTTTATCCGATTTCAGTTGGGACAAGTTGTGGCAAACTGACTGGAGTTAATAATACTTTACACTCTGGCGGCTGGTCATTAGTAGCATATTGTGTGCATTTAAGAAACATGGAGAGATCAGTGTTTAAGAAACTGCATCCCTCCAGTAAGAGTCTTAACAATAGTTATGCAAAGGAACAGTTGTGACAAGATGTCTTGTCAACACAGATAAATTGCCCCTCAGGTGCATTGTAATGCTAGAGATCTGAGGCTAAAATGCATTAAGCATTTTGAGACATATAAATATCTAGTATTTTTAAATGCAGTTTAGATTACACTTTTTTTAAACCATGTACCAACTGGTTCTAAAATACAGTTTTACCAGCTAACTGAAAGCAGTAGTCTTGGCCAGGAAGATTGTGCTTTCCCATTTTATGACAGAACAGATTCGTTTTATAGAGTTCCTAAAGCAGGATCAATTTACTCACCTTAAACAAACAAGTAACTGTCAAACCTGTTGGATGCTCCAAACAAATTTGATCCTGCAGTGATTAGTAATCTTGCTCAATACCTACTGACAATGGGGTTTCAGAGGGAGCTACTCAAATGCTTACTAAGCACAGAAAGGCTTTGAAAGAGACCTGGAACAACAGATAAATATTAGCCTTCAGCAATCCCTGGAAGATTCCCAAGACCAAGTTTAGAAAGAGGCTGAAAACTCAAAGCAAACACACCGCTAAGCCACCAAGTTTCATATAGCTTTTATGTGAAATCATAAACCAGGCAAATCCAAGAGGAACCTTTTGGAGGAAGGTTGAGTTTAGAGTTTCTAATGAAATAGGAAACAAGTTGAGTTACCCATGGTTTGGGGTTTCATTGTGAACTGGCTGCACATCTCTAAGAAACGTAACATGAAGTTAGATTGATAGTCAATACTGAGACATCTATTTGAAAGTGGTCATGGAGAAAGATCTACCAGAGTTAAATACCAAGGAGACAGCAGACAAAGAAAGATTAAGGCAGGACCCTTGGGATCTAACCTTAATTTTAGGAGGTCCCGGATAGGATAGCAAGAAGTGGAGCAGAAGGAGAAATGGCAACATAAAGCTGACCTGCCCCATTTGGCAGGAAAATTAATGGTTTAGGAGTGGGCACAAGACAAAAATCCATCCAGGATAGACAGATAGATATGAGAGAGAGAGATTGTTCAGGGTCCTCTAAATTTTGGTGCATCAGGTCCCCATTTAGCCACCACTGGCAAGCACAGAAAATTTTTCCCTTTGAAGGGGTTCAAGGAGCTGCAGCTACAGAGTGTTACTAAATGGCAGTAAAGCTGCCTGGAGTCAGCCCAGGCTAAGTAAAGAGGATTAGAGCCAGAATCTTGACGGGGAGTACCTGGCAGTAGTGTGGAGATTTGGGGTCAACATCCACTGTTGCCAGATAGTCAGGCTTCTCTATCCCAGTGTTTCTGTAGATACAGGGCAGGTACACAATCTCCTCTCTGGGACCTTGCAAGGCAGAGAGCTTGTTTAGGTCAACACAAGTCAGCTCCACGCTATCCCCAAAGCAAGCCTTGGAGGAATCTCTCACTGGGTTGGATTTGCCCAACTGGAGCATAGGTGCTAGGGGTTCTGGGGATGCTGCTGCACCCCCAGCTTGAAGTGTTTTCCATTATATACAGAGTTTACAGTTTGGTTCAATGGCTCTCAGTACCCCCACTTTAAAAATGGTTCCAGCCCCCCTGAACTGGAGGTTGGGAACCTTCCTCCTTAGTCTTCTTCAGGGGTGGAGTGGGGTAGATATTATCAGAGTCTTCATTATGCAGGAAAGCACACTAGGCAGGGGTCAGTCTGAAGGGGATTTCCCTGCCTGTGGTGTGGCCCATTCGCAGTTTGGGGTTCTATTACCCCATCTTTGCTCCAGGAGGACTCATCCCTGGATCAGAGATATTTCTGAAGGGCCCCGTGAATGTAAAGTGCACACACTTTCAAAAAATTATCCTGAAGATGGAGAGACCAGGGAACCTCCCTACCCCTTACAGGGCTTGTCAGCCCTTCCATTATACCAGCTGCAGAATAGAGTTAGCTAATGCTACACCCAAAAGGCCTCTTGTTAATCTTCACTTAATCTGAAGGTAGTTCAATAAAGCTCTTTTTTTGATAACCTAGATTTCAGAACGCAGTTGACAGGACTTGCCTTTCATGGCATCTAAAGGAGTCTTGTACCCAGGACCACATGCTCCACATTTTGCTGCTGAAAGAGGAGAAAAAAAAAAAAAAGTTAGATATCTCCAAGTTATTCACCTGCACATTTTCCAAAGAGGTCATTGACTTTTGGTCCTCAGCTTAAGAGATCTTAGACCCAGTTTTCAGAAGTACCACCCACAAATCCCATGGCCCAATAAAAGTTGAGAGAACAAGACCTCTGAAAACGAGGCCCAGCATGTCAGGTTGGAGATCCAAAAATGGAAGAAAGTTTGGGTCTTAGTTTTCAAGAAGTCCCATCCTGCAATTTAATACCAAATGACTGAATCATAAGCAGTCAGATAAACATCGGGGATTTAGGAAGACTTGATTTGTGAAAGGTTTTAGGGATTAGTAGTGAAGCACTGTCAGGAGTTCAGCTAGACAGATTGCTCCATTTGACCAACCCATTTTATTATTGTAGGAGCACTGTGCAGGCCTCTTCTGGGTATTAACCCTGGGAGTGGCTGTTTCTAGAGATTTAGAAGCTGGTTGGGGGCCAGTAGTGCAGAGTGTTTTGCTTAGTGGGAATCGCACCTGTACCCACCTCCTCACTGCTAGAAACTCAGTTCCCCAGCTTCTGCTCCTCGGCACTCCATCCTACCTTCCTGCTAATTGTAACCTTTATTGATCCCTATCTGCACTCTTCAACAAGTCTCAACTAGCAGAAGTGGGGGCAGCTCAGCTGCGAGTCCACGTTTCCAGAGACTGGGAAGGAACCTGACGAGTGTCAGTGGAGGAATCTGACAAGCAGCAGGTGAAGTTCAAATCTGGCTGGAGACTCAGGGCTTGTTCCTTTATTAGGGAAGATAAAGCAGTAGAGGAACTGAAAACAAGTGTTCTTCTGTGCTTTAAGGGTTCAAGCAGGAATTGAGTGGATTCAAGGCGCATTCCATGTGTAGCCCGATCTATGAATCATATATTAACTATATTGAATACTTAAGAATTCCCAGTTATAACTTTGAGATTTGACAGGTTCTTGTCCCAAAATCAGGCCCAGTATTATTATAATTAGTTCAGCTGGGAACCCCACTGTGCACAGTTGCAGCACTCACACTTTGGGAAACCTTCTGTATTTGCAATAGTTTATCAATACATTTAGCAAAGTCACCAACACTCTAACCCAGAAAGACAGAGAAACTACAGAATGTAGATCTGAACATGTATCTACTCACACCATCCCTTGCAGAACAACCTGAAATGTTAGCCATTGTCTTCCTCATCACCATCACTAGTGGTCATCATTCTGGCACCACCCAAGGGCTACATCTCTCGCTCCTCCTGCCCACACTGGGATACAACTTTTATAATATGGTATGCTGATGCCACTATATTTAATGCATTTTCAGTAGGGGTTTCTCCCCCTTCCTTATTTGTATTTCCTCACCCTACTAATGTTGGGGTGCCCTTCCCCTGTAGATTAGTATATTAAAGATCTCAACTTATCATATATGTCAATTCATTGACATGGCACTCTTGTGGTTAGACATCTGAAGATGTTCCCATCCTAAGATATCCAAAAGCTGGTGTTGCTCATGTTCCTGTGGTTGGCTGGTGTCAACCACAGGACCAACTTCCCCCTTAACCGTTCTATTCTCAGTTCCCCAAAATTTAGGAGTGACCAGTAGGCCATTTATCAGTGCCAAAGTCCATAGGCCTCAAGCCTTATGCTAACCGCTGAAGCCAATGTCTTACAGGATACAGGCCTGAGGGTTCCTTACATTACTGCTGAATAAAATAAATGCTAAAGCTAGCTCCATGGACTACACATGTTTCTTTGGCACAAAGCCTCACAATTTGGAGCTGTTGATCACTTTCAAATCAGGACTGTGATAAACACCATACCCAGGTCATGTAGAGGTAGTAGTACAGGTGCATTCTTCAGGAAACAGACACTGGACAGACAGTTGCCAGTTACTAGCCTTCTTTCTAAAGGTTTCTTGGCTCCCTTTGTATCAATGCAGGAGCATATTCGTTTTAACTCCTTAGGAGCACTATGGTTGACAGTTGAATAAAATAATAATAAAAATCTACTGTATAGCAGTTGCTACTGTAACAGTCAGTATTCCAGACAGTCACAGGATTCCTGTTTCAGGTTTACATTAACAAATAACTATCTAGGATCAAGAAAATATTATCCTGACACACTGTTTAAAAACACATCAACTCCACATGGCAAGTTTATACACCTTATCAGAGTATACAATTCTGCACTGCTATAGTCACAATGCTCCAGTCCTGCTGAACCCATTCCAACATGGATGGAGAGTCCAACTGCCCCTCCCCACCCCCATCTTATACAAATAATAAGCAGCCAGCAGCAATGTGATAAATTGAGACAATTTTGAGCAGGACCAAAGAATGTAATGCCCGCTTTGCAGCTGACTGCAGTGCTTCAAGCATCTGCCTGATAAATGACTTGCCATTTTGCTCATTTTCACCACTGTGTTATAATCTTATATTGTGACAAACAAGTTCTTCAAAACAAACCCTACAGAATCCGACACCTTCAACTCAATAGGATGTGACAGCTGTATTTCCCCATTAAATCAGGTTGCTATTCTCTAGGAAACAAAGATGACAAGTTACTTTGTAGAATCCACTCACTACCTTCTGAGGTTTGTTACTTTAAAACATGATTTCCTCAAAAAGCGAGGGCTCTTTAGTACTAAATAGGCTGTCTTAGAAGATTGTCTGAGAATAGGCAAAAGGACAGAAAATCTGATGTATTCCACACCATTGAATGTCTAAGCCCTGCAAGGCACAATGTAAACTTTATTAAAAATAGATACATATAACTAAACTCCATCCTATTTTTCCTAGTCAGCTAAATTAGCAGGGACAAAACATGGATTAGACCAGTACTAGATTAGTATTGCACAAATACGTTGTTCTTTTGCAGATTAATAAAGGAAGAGACCACTTAAACTAGAATGTTTGCTAGAGATAACCTAGGGCAAGATGGTGACATTCCCCGCCTTTCCTCTTCCCATCCCTCCCCTTACTCCTCTTCCTTCCCTCCCACTTTCTCTCCGTTCCTTCCCTACTTGTTCAAATATTCTGTTGTAATAAACTGTTGAGCATCTGTTTGAAGTTGACATATAGCTTTCACTGTATTTTGGGTCAGACTCTTCATGAACACACAAGTCATGAATCTGCTATTTGTACCATTTTTGTAGCAAGATGTTGATAAAAATGTTTACATTAGAGATATTAACGTGTCATTACACATACTAATAGTCGTCATTAAATGCAGCTTCCCAGCTATCTTGGCGTCTGACTGAATGTTTAGAATACCTTGAAGTTGGACTGTATTTGTAATAGAAATCTAGCGAAAGACCAACATGCTTTGCAAACTACTGTCATTTATCACAGTGTGACTGGGATAAATGTCTATCAGGGATGGTCTAGACAGTATTTGGTCCTGCCATGCGGGCAGGGGACTGGACTCGATGAACTCTCGAGGTCCCTTCCAGTCCTAGAATCTATGAAAGTAGCTAGTTCAGTTTACTGCTAGATCAGGAATACTTGAGGTTTTCCCCCCCAAAATGTGGAGGATATCTTTATTGACAAAGCTCCTATGCCATGCAATCCACCTCCCCTCTCGGGCACCATAAAGATAACAGCCTTGTGGCAATTACAGCAATTGCTCACGTGGAAGCTATGTTTTTAGTGCAGAGTGTTTTGTCCTTTTTCACAAAGATGTCGCACTAGGCTCGATTCTTCGTTTCCCTGTATCTTGTGCAATCATTTGCCCCTGTGCAAAGTGAGAGTAAGACACTGCCATTCTGATGTTGGTAGATGTTGGAAACACATTTACAGCAAATCAAATGGGATTAAGTCTTTAGTTTTCCTCTTTTGCTCTTTATTTCGTCTTCCTCTTCTATCTGTCCTGTTTCCCACATCTTAAACCAAGAGGTGAGCCAGCCCCATGTCAGCAGCCAGCTCATAATCAATCAACCACCAGCAAGTGCTCCATAGGCCACAGCTTGGCAAACTCTGTTCTAGTTAACATGAGGGTATATGGATGGCCTGCTGCAACATCTATAGTTGTTTTGAAGATATGAACCATAATTCCCAACAGAACCGTGAAGGAACAGACCTCAGGGGCCTGCAGCGCCCCCTCTCCTGCCATCCAGCAGGGTTTAAAGTTGGGGGAGACAGTTTTCATGACCTCATGGAAATAGTAAAGGGCCGTTCTTTGGATGATTCCAAGGACCCCCATACAACCAAAGGTCATCCCCGAGAATGACAGTTCGTCCCCACCCTAGTTTTTTAACCACACCAAGTTCTGCTAAATGATATAACATGCTGTACAAAGTCAGAAAGTGAAGACTGTATCCTTGTCCAGGGGTTCTCAACCAGAGGTCTGGGCTCCCCTGGGGGGCTTCAAGCAGGTTTCAGAGGGTCTGCCAAAATAAACCAGAGAGCAGGGCTGGTGTTAGACTCGCTGGGGCCCAGGGCAGAAAGCTGAAGCCTGAGCCCTGCCACCATCCTGCCACCCAGGGCTGAAGTTGAAGCCCAAGTAACTTAGCTTCATGGGGCTCTGGGCAATTGCCCTGCTTGCTACCCCTAACGCCAGCCCTGGCTTTTAATCTAGTGGATATGCAGAAAAACAGTTATGGTGGTGCAGGTGGCCCATGGAATTTTTATAGCATGTTGGGGGGACCTCAAAAAGAAAAAGGTTGAGAACCCCTGCTCTAGTCTGGTGGTCAGAACAGGGGACTAACCTCAAGATGCCTATTTGTAGCTATTGCTGACTCACTGTATGATCCTAGGGCAAGTCACTTAATTTCTCTGTGCCTGTTTGGGAATAATAATACTTTCATAGATTCTAAGGCCAGAAGGGACCATTGTGATCATCCAGTCTGACCTTCTGTATAACACAGGCCATAGAACTTCCCCAAAATAATTTCTAGAGCAGATATTTTTGAAAAATATCCAATCTTGATTTTAAAATTGTCAGTGATGGAGAATCCACCATGACCCTTGGTAAATTGTTCCAATGGT